TCTTTCTACCTTAGAAGAAGGGATATATTTCTATTTTTTGATATTCTCTTTGATCTCTTTTTTCAGGGTATTTTAATTTTCAATGTAAAAGTCTTTTGCTTCTTTTGTTAGATTGATTCCTAAGTATTTCTCTTTTATGTTATTGTGAAAGTTGTGGTTTCCCTATTTTCTCTCTCAGTGAATTTGTTATTTGTGTCCAGGAATGCTATTGACTTTTTAGTGTTAAGTTTTTATCCAGTGATGCTGCCGAATTTGGTTATTAAATCTAGAAGTCTTGTGGGGGATTTCTGGGGGTCTTATATGTATAATTTCATATCATTTACAAATAATGACAATTTAGCATCTTCTCTAATTCTCATTTTTAAAAATTTCTTTCTGTTGCCTTATTTTTCTGGCTAATATTTCCTGATCTATATTGAATAGAAGTGGTGAGAATAGAAATCTTTGTTTATTCCTGATTTTAAAGTGAAAACTTTTAAGGTTTTGACCATTTAATATGATATTGGCTGTTGTTTTGCCATAGATAACTTTTATCAGATTGAGATAAAGACCATCTATTCCAATTTTCTTTAGGATTTTTTAAAATCAAAAATGGGTATTTGAGTTTTTTTGGGAGGGTATTAGAGTTTGTCAAATGCTTTTTGTGCATCTATTGAGATTATCGTGCAGTGTTTGTACTTGGTTCTATTGATGTGCATTGAATTTATTGATTTGCATATGTTGAACCATCCCTGCATTGCTGGGATGGATGCTACTTGGTCATGTTGTATAATCTTTTGCTGCACTCTGTTTGCCAGTATCTTATTGAGGATGTTTTCACCTAGGTTCATTAGAAGATTGGCCTTTGGTTCTCTTTTATTCTGTTGAATCCTTTCCTGTTTTTTGTATAAGGCCAATACTTGCTTCTAGAAATGATTTTAGGAATATTGCTTCTCTTTCAATTTTGTAAGAGTTTGAGGAGTGGTGGCATTAGATATTCTCCAAAATCCTTATGAAATTTAGCAAGGAATCTACCAGGATGGTTTTTGTTGATAGTTTTTAGTTACTTCTTCAATTTCATTGATTGATACTAGCTTATTATAATCTCTGTATTTCTCTCTCTCTCTCTCTCTCTCTCTCTCTCTCTCTCTCTCTCTCTCTCTCTCCCTCCCCCCTCTCCCTTTTAACCATGTCCAACTGGCTTGTTTTATTGGAGGTGGGGACATGACAATAACAATATGAAGACATCTGGGACCACAGGTAGGAAAGAAGACCCTCCCCTTCCCATATTGCCCACTGCCCCAAATAAAAAATAACCAACTATGGGGGAGCAGCTGACAGACCAGGGCATGGGGGAAGGAGACACAAAACTCAAGGGTAGCAGTGAGGAGATCATGTGTGTGCTGGGAGGCCCATGGCGGCGGCTATATGAGTCTGTCTTCCAGGTGGACATGTATAAATATAAAGATAAACTCTTCTTTCTCCCCTCTCCCTCTGCTGTGCTGCTTGCCACCATCCCAGCATCTTTCCACATGGGACAGTGAAGGGAAGAGTTGAGCAAGTCATCACTGAATTGCGACCAGACCCACATCCATCAGCTTCTGGATCTTCTGCGCTATTACAGGATTCTTTTAAGTGTTCACTGAGTGCCTGGGGGTCCTTCTGCCTCTGCTCCAGGATGAGCCACATGGCTGGGCCACTCATTATCTGCTGCACCTCAGGGTCAGCCATGGCCCGTCGCTTCACATCCTCAGGGTTGTCATGCCTGTTATACTGAGCCATCATACAGCACTGGTAACCATTGGCAGCCTCCTGACAGCTGGAGTCCAGGTCCAGTGCCTTCTGGGACACATCCATGGCCTTCCCGTAGTCCTTCATGGCCTCCAGCACAGCAGCTTTCCAGGTATAACCCCTTGTGAAGGTTGGCTTCAGCTGGATGCACTCTTCCCAGTCCCTTGAGCGCCAGCTGGAATTCCAGGAGCTTGGTATAGCCGGCAGCTTGATTGCTGTACAGTTTGGAATCTCATGGGTTCTGTTTAATGGCTTCTGTATAGTGCTTCATGGCCTGAGGATAGTCTCCTTTCTGAAAACACTCATTGCCTTTGTTCTTTTCCTCCAAAGCCAGGTCAGGGTTGCTGTAGGCCAATCGCTCTTGCTCCTTCAGGATTTTCTCTGCCTCCTGGCATTTCTTCAGTACATCTGGAGTTCGGTGTTCTGCCAAAGACTTATTGTAGAAATGGATGGCATCCTTATATTTTTCCTCTTTGAAGTAAGAATCACCAATTCGAGCATAAGCATTGGCAATCTGTCAATAGTCTTCCCGGTTTTCTCTCCCCACTTCGATGGCCTTCTCACT